TCAATGATAATCCAAGGAGTATCTGCATACTGTGAAGATTGAATTCATTTATAGACTACAATAAGCAAGTTTAACTTCTGTCCTAGACCTGCATGGCTGTAGACCTGCCTGAACTATTTAATGCAGTATTACTTCTGCAACTGACCTGCCAACTGATTTATCTAGAAATTCTTCTAGTGCACAGAATTCTCTATGTTTAAAGAGCAGAAATTTCCCTTTTTATGTAGCAGTTGAATTTGCCTTATGAATGTTAATACAAGTCTCCAAAATTATCACAAAATCCCTCTAATGCTTCACATCAAATACCTTTATCTTTTCATCCTGTTATGCTGTCTTTTGAAGGAAATATTTTAAACTATGTTTTTTGGCTCCTTTAGACCATCTCTTTTTCGAGATAAATGAAATCTGAAAGGAACAGAGAGAAATAAGCTAGAAACACATGAGATAAAGCTATAGACAAATGATAGAAATAGCCTTATTTCAGGAAGAGAAGAACAGTGTGAAATTACTCTTCTGAGAATGTCACACCCTGCTTTATTCAGAGGAAAATTAATCCATTTCATTTTCAGTGATGAAAGGTTATTTAACATCAAATATTATTCTTGGATATCAACCCTGAATCCCTGGTGTATGTTTGATTTGAGGACTACAGCTAATGTTGATGATGTTTTTATTAAAAAAATACACTCTTAATAGGCTTAAAATCTTTAACAAAAAGAAAGACCTAAGGAATGAAAGTGCTGACTGGTTTGTTTGTACTGCATTTTCATATTAAATTTAATTACAGATTCAAATTTTTAAAATCCATGTCACTAGATAGTCACATAGCACTGGTTAACAACTGGCTGCTCTTGCCACGCTACAATGTAAAATCACATCCCTTCAATATTCCTGTATGTTTATTATATAGCTTGCTTTGCATACTACAAAAAGAAATTGAAGAGTCTGGATTTATGATTGTATTTTCTAACAAGTATTTCATCTGACTTGAGATAGAAGAGAGGAAACTTTCCCAGCAACAACTGGTGTTTATGAGTAATGAAAAACACTACAGAATATTCTAAGGTATTTGTTCACTGTGATTTATACTATTTGCCCAAATAAATAATTAGTTATATTTAAAATTTGAAATAATGCTTTAGAAACTATGTGTTCGGCTTCTTTCAGGTGGATAGCACATAATACTGATATTTCAGTCAGTCCACATAGTCTAATCACTGCTCTTCAGAGCGAAAATAGACAAAGAGACTACAATGCCTTCTTTAAGTCTTAGTTCTTGACCACATGTAGGCTCAACAGAAACATAATTAATGTTACACAAGCTTTTTTCAATCTTTAGCTTTTCTTACATTAATGTCAAATAGAGTTTTCATTACTTTGTCTCATTTTTCTAAGTTTACTAGTAACCAGAATTAGCATATTGAGCTTTGATCCTTTTCTACATGGTGGGTTGCAATGTTAGACCTAAAGGTCTGAGTAAAATATGAAGTAATAAGAATTTGGCTTGCTGAGTAGAGTGATTCAGAAGCATGACACTTTAGAGTCTTAAATTTTATATTCTTCAGCTACAAACAAGCAAAAAAGCTATTTAAATCTCTTCTCAAAAAAACCTTGCAATATCTTAGGGCCTGCATTAACTTCTGTTATGCCACATTTATCAAAAGAAAAATAGCAAGGGAAAGTTGATAATTATAATCCTGATCCCAAATGAGCTTCTCTCATACTAAAACACAGTTCTAGGATGCTTTAAAAAGTGTTTCAGGTTTTAGTATTAATATTTTACCATATTTTGTTAGAGAAGAAGAAAAATAATAGCAGTAATTATTTGTTGCATTGCAATAACCAATAACGTACTGTAAATTGTACTCTGTCTTCTTTATTTGATCAGCACTTGTAACCTCTATATAGTGTGATATAAGTTGCTTTGTTTTATTTTATAATTTTTAAGATTAAATATCACACATAGTATTTCATTTTTAATAATTAACTTTAGTAGTTCTTGGAGTATCAATGGTATTAAAAAATACAGGGTTTTAGTTCAAACTTTGCATTTTAGTTGTCACAGAAATGAAAAATGCAATGCTGCTGATGGTGCAATTTGTCTAGATGAACCACTTATAGTTTTTGGCAACAAAACCGAACAAACTCTATCTTGTCTGCTTGTCCACTCATCAAAAAAAAAACCCCTAGCCTTTAAATAAATACAGAAGCTTTATTTTAAATATAGGAGTAAATCTTTGTTTTACCTCTCTCTTTTGTTTCATTGTGTGCACAAACTGAAAATAGTCTAAATTTTCCTTAAAGTCTTCTCTAAAGATCATTTATAATTAATGAAATTATTATAAGAATGAAAAAAGCAATGAAAAGTGTTACTTTCTTCTTAAAGGTTTACTACTCAGGCAATGATTTATGGACACCATCATTCTTTTTGTGATGCTGGCATTTTATACCATGTCAGTGCTTCAAACGCAACCTTCATCTTTTACCTGCAAGTGCAGTGGAAGTGGAAAATAGAATGGATAACAGGGCTTTGAATTTGAAAAATATTGGCTTTTCACCAGTAGGTAATTGAAGGTCTAGAATAGAGCTTGTATGCAAATGAAGTTTTACATGAACTCCTTCATATGATAAGGGTACTACCGAGGTGACAGATTAAAGGATGTACTGGTAAGGTCTTCCCAAGAACCAAGAGTGAAGCTTTTTAAAATGATATACTCTTTTGTATATCACTTATATACTCCACCACCATTTGTTTGAAGGATCTTAGGTTTTTCTTTAAGGGAAAAGCATTAGTTTATTATTCAAAAATAAAGAGGAAATCAACTCCAGAGCACATTTAATCTGGGAAATTTTGATGAATATAATTTTTATTTTAATTAACAATATTATTATTTGCATTATGCAATGACTTTCATAAATTTTCATCAGGCAGGTGGGCCTTCTGATCCTTTTATAATTACTATTGTTCCTTTTGATTTATTTTCAAGATTTCAAATGCTCAGGTAAGCTAGAATGAGAGTTTCCTTCCTGCCATTGCTGAGGAAAATCTCTGGATTTTGGAAAATTTCTATAGGAAATAAATTACCTTAACTTTTCAGGTAGTTGTCTGTTTTCACTCTGTGTCAGTGCATGTACCTCTCGTATTCATAGCACACTAAAAAAGAGCACACTGGGAAAGTGGTCAACATATCATTGGATAGCAGAAACAAATTATAAGATACATTAAAATATTCTTTTAAAATAGTCTTGATAAGATTAGAAAAATGTTAGTTCTCAAGAGAGCCTCAAAATTTTTTATGAATCAGTTTGTATACCCCAAATTGCTTCAAATGATCCTAAATCATCATGGAATAGGTACTCATTGAAAATGGATGAAACTTGGCAGGTCTCTGAACATTATTTTTCTAGCTTCTTGACAGTATCTTTAATATGTCCAATCATAATCCATCATGTAAAACATATATTTTATGCTTCTGGAGCAAATTCACACAGACATTTTAGAAGGAAAGAGGTGAAATTGAAGTCTGCCTATTACTGAAGACAGATACGTACTGTGAACAGAAAAGCCTGAAAGTGAGAGTGGAAGCATGTCTCCCTAGTGAACAAGCAGAAACTGAAGTAGATGCTTCATGTCTAGATGCTCTCCTGAATCTACTTTATGAGAAGGACCTGTCAGCTGTACCAGGTTTCTTTGTGTAGCTGATGACTTTGAAAAGCTCACCTAATGGGTGCAAGTAAGATAAAAACTTACTTTCCTTTGTTTTGTATATTACAAATTGGATTTGATTCTCCATATACAAAAAGAGAGAGAGGATTTGGGATTATTCTTGCTAAACCTCTAAAAAAGAGTGCAAGAAAAATGTCCACTAATATAATAGAAAATCCTTTTGTTTGTGTCTCTTTAACTTGCAATGGCTAAAAAGTCCTTTTGTATGTATAACTTGTCATTCAGTACAAAGTGACATAGAAAGGAAGAATAGGTTTTGACTCCACTTGACAGATTAATCCTCATGTAAGGTCTTTGAGTCATGCATTTATCTTCATAAACCACAGTCCTGTGCTTTTGAAAAATATTTAGTAATCCATTTGGCTGATTATATGTCGAACATCACCATTTTCTTTGATAGGATAGTAAGGACAGAAAGGCTGCATTTGAAATGTCCACAGGAAATTATCAGGAGCTGCTGTCTTTACAGAGGCAGAGTAAATTTGCAAGACCAGCTTTTATACATCATTTGTGTTTTAATTCCTTCACCCAAATACTTAAAATTTATTTAAACAGTATAAGTCTACATCAAAACCTTAAAAGTGAACAAACTCTCATAAAGAATAGTTATGTTATACTGAGAATTAAAATATCTGATGAGAATATTTATTTGGAGTTTGTCAAAAGTCCTCTGTGTTCACCTCAGGTCTGCTACAGTGTGAACTTTGCTTGTAGAAATCCCTTATACTCTAGTTAAATGTGGCCAATGCGCTTCACTCAGCATGTCAAATCTTAATTTCACTTAGAGGCAAAAAGAAACTGTTCAACTTCTACATACAAACTGAGAAACAAGACTCTCATCTGTTGAAAAGTCATCAGTTTTGGTATGGTGAGTCTAGAATTTCTTGCTATGATTTCTGACTTGATATATTTGGTCCAGTGCCTATAAGTCATCAACAAGTGGGTGTTGAGGATTGTGTGAGTGCAACTGTGTGTGCAGGCACATATGTGTGTGTGCATTTGTTCCAGTTTGGTTGCATCCACAGCACAGTTTCTCACTGTGATATGAGAAAGCAGAAAATCCAGTAGTAGCTGGTATTTTCTACCTTATAGCAAGAATGAAATGTCAGAACGTTGTTGTTCTGTGCCATTACAGTTGTTGCAGTGCCATCCTGGGTGTTTTACAGTGGAAGCTTCCAATGGTCCTGAGGGAGATTCACATCAAATGTCCCTTCTTTTCATTAAATGCAAGTGACCAAAAGAACAAGAAAACAAAAACAACCAAAAGACATCAGCACAAGCCTTTTATTCTTCCACTTGAGTAATGCATCAATCATCAGGCACTAGAATTCAAATCAAGACTTCTTTCAAAAAAAGCCCCAAAAGAAACAGCAACATCTCATTAATTTGGAAAAAATGTCACACGATAATTTTATTATAGAGGAGGGGAGAAACTTCATATATCTGACTAGTTTGAGGTGACTTACTAAGAACTGTGATTTAATAGTAGAAATGATATTTCATAAATTGTTGGGATTTGGTGTATTCTAGTTTTTTGAGAAAATTTCTGTAACAAACATTAATGAAAATCATTAATTTTCCAAATAATACAGCTCATTAAGAGGTTTTGGGTTTTTTTTACAAGGAAGGGGTAATTGAGTATTACAACCTAAAGGCTGAAACTCACTTTGAATTTTGTCATATTTTTACTGCTTACTAAATTTTTCTATGTAACTTAGGGTAGGTAATGGAAACAAAAATTTGCTTTTTTAATATTACACATGAAAGCTCATCAGTAAATTCCTGATGTAATGGGAATGTAATTATTCATCAGTAATGTCCTGATGAATAATCCTACTTAGTGTAACCTTTACCTTTTATTACAGCTATACAGGAAGTAATAAAATACTGTTGCAGATACACTAATATGTGTGTTAAATAAACACCCTACCAAAACAAAAAAAAATATTTTAAATCCTGAAATTAAATTAAATTAAATTGCAGAACATATAGTTAGGTTGATGTACCCCTGCAAGACAATATTTCCCTTAATTTATTATCTAATATTTATACTAATAAAGCACAAGCACATGTTTATGTCCATAAATTATATGAACATCTGTTTTGCACTGAATGACCTTGTAGAATATTTGTTACAGTTCTGAGTGATAACCAATGCGTATTTTAAGACAGCAAGGACAAACAAAGTTCATGGAAGAGGTTCATGATGACAATGTAATTTATAAACATGCTGCATGAGTAATGCAGAGTACATGCACGCTGATAGCACAGTAATAACTGCTTATAGGAAATATTTAACAAATCATTGTGCCTGCCATGCAAGCTGACTGGAAAAGTGTTGACATTGAAGGCAGACTGCTTAGGGAGGAATAAATTGAATATGGCACTCAAAGTCAGCCCAACTCAATAGCAAGTGAAAGTAATAATGTTCTGCAGGTTATTCACTTGCCTACACAGAGAAACTTAGCACATCATACTGAGATCTTGATAAACTAATCAAGTCAGGACTGATATTAAAGAGTTACTCTAGCTATACTGTATCATAAAATATGACAATAGATAAAAAAATTATCTAATTCATTCTTTTTGCTATTTGTGCTTGTCTGATTTTAAGAAGACATTGGCTATTTTTGACTTTCAACTCTTCCATGTTCTGATACATTTCTATCATCAGTCCAGAACTGCCTAAAGGAAATATTTACCACATTCCTTTTAAACTTATTTTAAGAAAAATGGGTAACATTTCTGTCAGCACTGACATGGAAAATAAAACTATGTTTTTCAAAATCCTGATTGTTGTCCTACCTGTGTGTCTTGCCATCAGTAGTAGTTTTCTTTTTAAGCAGGATGAGTACAGGATGGAAATAAGTCAAAGATTTATTTAATCAGAAATCTTTCATCCATTTCCTTCTGATTTTCTTTTTCAGGAAAAAGAATAAAACAAGCAAAATGGCAAAATATTTTGCATTTTGGGCTGCTTTGGGGCTAAAATTGAACCTTTTCAGCTTATCAAGCTGAAAAGAAATCAGAAGATGTTGCTCACTGAAAATATGGCTTAAGAGAGTTCATTCTATGGTTTGTAAGTGCATATTTGTATATATTCATATTTGAATCTTTTTAGATACCAAGATAAATATGGAGCTCAGTCTTGTCTGCAATTTTCATTATGTCCTGCAGTAAAGCATATGAGCCTGTGGTACAGAACTGAGCCAAGATGCTACTTTAACTCATAGTTTATTTCAGTAGCCTATCTATTGAATTTGTGTTTGGAGAAAAACCCAGAAGTTTACAGCACTAGTAAATCTGTTTGGTTTTTGTTTTTTTGGGGGTTTTTTGTTCGGTTTTTTTTTTGGTTTTGTTTTTTGTTGGTTTTTTTAAATTTGCATTTGCATTTGTGTATTGTGCTCTTTTGCTATGTAGAAAGTGTTCACAGTCATTATTAGAAATTGCTTAGTGGTTTTGTTCACACCTGAGAAAGGCCAAAAGTTGCTGAGCTGAGAGACCTTCCAGCAAATCCTTTCTGAGAAAAATCCCATGGACCCACATTGTCTGTCTCCCAGTATAATGAGCAAGGGCTTATTTTCAAACACTGAATGCAAACCTTTATATAGCTGGTAAAACCTAGTTTTTTACAATCCTTTTCTATAAACTGGTAGGAACCATGATGGATGTAGCCCGTGGTTACATGTGTGCAAAATCTTTGTATTACAGATTACCAGAATTGACTTGGAGCAGACAAAGAAAATAGGCTGACACAAAGAGAGTGAGCTCTTGAGAAACAAAAAAGTGAACAATATAGCTTTTATTTTTGTATCTCCCATTAAAATAGTAACCCCTCTTTCAGAACCTAGAATCAGTAATGGGTTACTCACTGGCTCTTGAGCTATTTCTAGAAAGACAAAAATGATGTCTTACTTTTGACTAATCGGCACAGTGAGCTAAGATCACCCTGAACAATCTCATTAAAAGCTTTTACCTACGTTGTTTCTTTTATTTTGTTACACCTAATTACACAGCTGTTCATAGAGAGCTTCTGAACAAAAATAAATGATCACATATGATGGTGAGAAGAAGGGAAAAACCTGTTTCTGCTTTACTCTGAATAATTAAAAACAATTACTAACCATAAATTAAATGTGTCTAGGATTAATGTATTTATAAATATTTGTGCTAAAACTCAGGAAGGAGATGTATATGTTAGAACCCCCAAATAAGGAATGGTAGTACACAGAACTCTGAGGAATATGAACAGTCTAATGTAACAAGCACATAGTAAATATTTCTTCAGCCCCTGCATTATCCACATTATTTTCTAATGTAAATAGGTGACTCAGGAAAGTCAGCAGAGCTGAATCTCCTTCCACAAAGTAATGAGCGTGACTTATAAACAGTGTTTGCTAACTGGTATGTGGCTTTGGTGACATGCTGCTGTGAATATTGACCAAATACACATTGTTGCTACTATCAAATAAAGTAAAATTTTGATGAGTGCATTAGAATAAGTTTTGAGGCAGGCTTCATAGTGGTTATCCTTCTCCAAGAAATATTACAACACTTTCAAAAAGTTGTTGCAGTAACTGTTCATCAGGTCTCTAAAAGGAGAGAGAAAACTTTCACATAAATATCAACAAATACTTTCTGATCACCTTGATTTTCTGATCATCATGTCTGCTCCAGAAAACCTCCTTCTCTGAAAGGAACTGCCAAGTCATCGAAATGTTTGTGGAAAAATAGATTATATTTATATATGTGGAGAAAGCACCATAATCCAGAATGCTGACAGCAGGTTTCCAATACAATGCAAATAGACACTAAAGACATCAGAAATCATGTGACATCCAAGCAAATACGCCATCATAGTTTCAATTCCAAACTCTATCAAAATGTTTAATTGAACTGAATAAAAAAACAATGTGAATATTGTTTTCATATAGCAAACTTTTAGTTGTAACAGTAACTTGTCATGAAGAATTTCAAAGCTGTCCATGTTCTTCCTCCCATCTTCCCTTTCTTCCCATGAATAAAAGAAGATATTTGCTTGTAAATTAAAACCGCACTCATCATCATAGGAATGACTGGAGAACAAGAAAAATTATGAAATACTATTAATGATCATTTAAGATAAATTTCTAAGATGTCCTCAGTAGTAAAAGATAAAATGACTCAGATATTTTCAAACAATGTGGGATAATTGATGCCCTATTTATTCCCTTGATTATATTTTTCTTGTATTTTATCCCTTCTTGTATTTCATGCAAGTGTTATATTTTTTTCCTACTTTCATCATGAAGGACACTTAAGAAGTATTATTTCTCAGCCATAGGTCTACATGTATTTATACAGAGATATATTAATACATGTATGTATGTATGTATGTATACAGAATTATTGGTAATAACTCACATATACCCTACTAGTATATTAGTTGCACATCAGTTGTTTAGTTATTTGCACATTAGTTATTTGTGTACCTATACATATTAATCTACATTAAAGTTATTCAAGTTATATAGGCTCTATAGAAATTAAAATTTTCTAAAGGGCAACAGAATAAGTGCCCAGCACTGCAATGAGCATATTCCTACAGCGAGCAATTAACCTCCTTCCGCTGTTGTTGGTCTGGAGGCTATGTCTCCCATGCTGCCAAGACTCTTTCCTAGAAATTTCTTGCAGCTACAATTTTACCATATGTTAGGGTAATTAAGCATATGATACCTGCTAGCTTTTCAGATGCTATCACACGGTTGATAAAATTTTATGGTTTAAAAAAAATTTAATATGCAAGCAGGTGTTTCTTTCATATCTGCATGGGGTTTTTTGCCTTTAAACATCTTTAGGAATTTAGGAACTTTGTTTAAACCATTACATGTGAAAATAAAAAAGAATAAAATAAGTCATTGGAAACTGTCATGTAATGAGGTAAAAATGATGTGCCATTTTTTCCTCTCTCCCTTCCTAACCAGAAGTATCAAATTAGATTATTGTATTTTAAGGAAAAACAACTACTTGTTGAAAGGCTACCATATAACAAGGAAAATGATTTTCTATTTTTTCCATGTGGATTATTTTGGTATCTCCTGAAAGAATAATTAGATTTAATAGAGAAAGAATGGATTAAGGTAAGCCTTTTCCTTACTGTATAACATTACTATAAGCATCAGCAAAAGTGCTTATTTTACTATGGTTGGTTCTGCTACTTTTCCAATATTTTGCTTAATAAAGTTTGAATAAAATAATCATAGCAGGAAACATTAAGCTTAGTAAATATAAAGTAAATTTTCAGTTGATGCTGAAATATTTAGTATTGCTAGCTAGTTTGAGTATTGCTAGCTCAAACAAAACTGGTAAGAGAGGAGGTCTATTCCAACACATCTTTCTGCAAATGCAGTTTCTTATGAACTTTTCAGCGTTATAGTTCTTATTTTTATTTTCACAGGTATACTGTTTGTAAAGTAAAATACTCTTTTTTGTGCTTACTCTGTTGTTTTGTTAAGGTTTACTTTTTTTAAGGACAACTCCTGAAGATTTTGCCCTGAGCAAACAGCTTTAATACAGGATTATCCTATTGTTTTTCAATTAAACACATAAAACAATTGATAGGTGGAGAAATTTTGAATACTTCCTTACAAGAGTGGCTAAAACCACACAAAGAAGATTTCATTTTAAAAAATGAAGGAGAAAAATTATTTTGAATAGATTATTGTGAATGAAAGCTCAGAAATGAGGATGGACTTGCAATCTGTAAAAAAGCCTTAGGAAAATGACATGAAAGTAGGGCCTGCTTTGAGTCTAAGAACAAAGTTTAGCAAAATGTTTGTATTTTGCTGCATCTTACCTGTTTTGGGATTAATCATTACTGAAGGTTTTGCCATCTGTAGGAAATGAATAAAAAATACATTGGCTCTAACCTGGAAAAGAAAGAAGTATTTTAAAGACATTTTATTCTTCTCCCCTTCATACACTGGGTCTTTAAATAAAATACTTCTTAAGTTTTCAGTTTCAATCAAAGAACCTTAATTTTACCTTCCAATACAGAATAACTAATTGATTTTAATTGGTGGCTTTTCACCCAATATTTTCATTATTCTAAGGCTGTTTGACAGCATAACATTGGAAGTCTCAAAAGGACCTGCAAGTTCAACCCTACCAAGCTGCCAAAATGAGAAAGGGATAAAGAGGGAAAGAGAGAAAGAGAGAGAGGAAAAGGTAGGGATTTTTTTTTTTTTTTGTGATTTTCTGGTGGAGATTGGTTTCTTTCTCTGTTAAATAAACTTCACCTATTTTATAAACCATTAAGTGAAAAAATGCTAGTTTAAATGTATCTGCACAATTTCTTTCTGTTTCTTTCTTTCTGTTCTACGGGGAGTGTCCATACTTGGTCTCTTTTGCTCTCTAGAAAACTTAGTGGAAATAAATGCTGCAGTACAGTACGAAACACTTACAGTGGATGCAGTGGAATAAGAGCTTCTTTTATGCTGCTAATAAGGACAGATTAACATACACATATATAAAAAACTATAAATTAATTTTTTAGGGAACTAAATTAAATAGCCGCATTAACTCTTCAGTCTCTAGGGCAGCACTGAGGTTCCCTTCCTATGACTTCGCCTTGTCACAGTGAGAGGATCCATTGATATAGAAAAATAGAATATAAACATTATATATTAGTTGCCATCCTACTCTGAAGACTTCACCCACCCAATGAAGTAGTGAGTCCTGATACATTAACAAATCTATTTACTCTCATTGTAAATTTAATCATAGTAATAATATGATTATATATGAAATTTTAATAATACCATAAAAAGGTTAAACAACTGTTATAGCAGTTTCCTTTTTATTTCTGAAAAAGGATCCTCAGCAATCACTTGATTTCCCTTTACTCATGTGTCCCATCATACTCAACTCATATTCAATCTCCACATTCACTTTTCTCTATAAGGGTTTGGGGGGAAAAAGATTATGAGACACAAATGATGTCAGAGTTTGAATTCTGTTGAAATTAAGACACTGAATGTGGTTATGTGGACATGTAAACAATTCAGTATGGGAAATTATCCTTCTGCACAGGCTGTAGGTGCTTACTTTACAGTAAACACCCTACCCTGGCAATCACTACTTTGACCATCTTTCTTTCAGTATTATGACAGCTTGAATAGTTACCTGTATAAACTTTTATTTAGCTGCTGATCATTCTGTTTTGGTCATATGCACCTGAAATATATAACAACACCTATGGTACTCCTCAATTTTAATTTTCATCTTTAGTCCTCTCTTTGCTCTTATCAAAGGAATGTGCCCAAGCAACAGCAATGGAAATTATTGCTGTCAAAATCTAGTCATTTCTAACTGAGGTGATCTGCTGAGTTCAGCCATACCTTGGCATTGTCATATCTTTTTTTACATCTTTCCTTATGTATTTCAAACTGCAAATCCAGACCTCTCATTAACTGCTGTGAAGACCATGTCCTTTCATGGGTGGTAAACTAACACTAAACACTGAACTTTGCAGCAAACAGATACAGGCTGGTTGTCTTCAAGTTCCAAATCTATACACTAATGCTAAATTAAACAACATAAAGGGAAAAATTCAGATGCAAAGTGCCTGAGGAGTTCCTGCTTTAGATTAGATGGCACTCATGTTGTGCCTTGTGTGCCCAGTGCAGGTGGATGGTGCTGTTGAACTTTTCAGAGGAGCCAAGCTGGGGCAAAGCATCTCCCTGGTGGCTTTCATAAATGGACCATGCAGTGGTGGGCTGTAGGGACCATATGTTCTGTGCCTGAGTGCTGGGGGAGCGAGCTAATCTGTTCCTAAAGCAAGGCCAGTGCCTTACACACTTACACTGTGGCTACTCTGGGACCATGGCCATGGAACCAAACAAGAAAAAACCTAGTTTGCTGTTTAAAGATAGCTACAACACAGCCCAGATGAAACAAGGATTTCTGTCCTCAGCAGTGCTTCAGACTGAAATCCATTTTACATCTTCTGAAATGCAAGAAACCTAAGTAAGGTGCAAATAAAATTATGAAGTTATAGAAGATAAATTACATAAACACTTCCCCTTTACTTCAGCATATTTGTATTTCAGCATATGGCATTGTTGAAATGTATGTTTCAACAATGACTATTCTCTGTAATGAATATACTCTTCTGTAAATCTTTGCCCTCCTCTTTCTTTCCTGAAGCTGAATACCTGGTATTTTCAGTCTTTAGAGACTTTGCTTTATTCACTGAACTCTGTAGTGTGATTGCCATTGGCTCACAAATATCTCGTTTTCAATTATGAGAGAAATACTTTTTGCTCCTGAGGTTTATTAGTTTTCAGCTTCATAGATTAGTTTATTAGCTTTGCCTCACTAACCCTGCAGCAAGCAAGGATTGTGACTTATTCTTAATATCAACTAGCATGCATTTAGTCTTGTTCCCCTAACCTTATTTATAAGGAATAGATATAATTACATTACATAGAAATACTGAGATTTAGAGCTAGACCAAAAGATGCTTCATTATCACAAACAAACCATTATCACAAACCCTAAATATTAATATCCAAAAAGCATGATATTGGTTCTATTTAATGTAAGATATATAATATGAAAACTCCTATTTGCAGATATAAAATACCATCTCATACCTGGGTTTGTTAAAAATTCTAATTAGCCTGTAGAAGAGAACTAGCATATGAGCTGGGAAGATCATGAAGGATCAATAGCATATAATCCATGTTTTTGAAGATTTACATTGGATATGGGACCATCTTATCCTAAAATAAATTTGCTTTGTCCATGCTTTACAAAGCATTCAAATGTATTCTAGTCTAAGTACAAAGTGCATTAAATGCATGCATTTTAATGAATTCATTAAAATGCATGCAAATACTCATCTTCTTTGATGAATTATGACTTCATTATCCAATTCCTTCATTTTCATGATTCCAAAGTCCAAAAGTGAAACTCTTGAAGCCAAAAGGGAAGAAAGGAACATTGTATTAAACTCAAGCTTTGGTAAAACACACCAGAAATACAAAAGGCCCTTTGCTGTTGCAAAACTTTTTTAGCATTACTTTATCTAGCTGGATTTGTAAGAAAGGAAAAAGATGCTTCCTCTCCCCTCTTGCCTCTTATTTTCTGAAACAGTGTCCTGCATTTTACCCCCCAAAAAATAGCATGTATGAAATATATAGTTTAATTCACAGGCATATGCTTATTAAAACACCCCCCCTCCCAAAACAAGCAAAAGCAAAAGCAAAAGCAAAAGCAAAAGCAAAAGCAAAAGCAAAAGCAAAAGCAAAAGCAAAACAAAACAATTCTTTTTTGGAGATATTCCTTTCACCTTTTTTTTATATTAATAAATCTTAGGTTTTTCCATTCTTAAACTGCTTTTTATGTGTTTTACAAAAAACCCCACTAAAACCACAACAAAAATGCTTTTAAGATACATGGATGTAAATGAAGTCCATGTTCATCTGTAGCAAAATAAAAATTCTTTTAGTATGTTCTAAATGCATATAGCATTTTCCTTATATAATCCATAATGTGTGTTTACAATTTGCTTCTATTCTCTTTTGTGGTTAACATTCATTCTGTCTCATAACATTGAGAGCAGGCTCAGTGTGAATTGGCAGAGCTTTCCACATGGAGAGATAATATTCTCTTACATTCTTTCCTAATACTGGGATATGCTAAGCATCTCTTAAGTAAAATTGAAGTATTTGTGATATGTTTTCATATGATAAATTTAAGTGATGATTTTTTTTACTGATATCCTTATTGTTTTTTGCTTTTTTTTTTAATTTCATTTTGGTTTGTTGGCATTTTTAAAATTATTTCTTTTACCTTTGAATTCTGTTTAATTTAAAGAGTTTAAACCAGAAGGGGTGAATTGACACCCCACAACCCCAACTCCCACCAAAAAAAAAGGCTAGTCAAAGGAAACCATCATATCCTTCAGTGTTTTGCAAGTTGTCATTCTCTTTTAGGATAAACTATAATTTCTATCACAAAGAATCATTTTAGATTGCAAAATCCTGATTCATTTTATTTTTTTTTTTTTATTGCCTTGGTCCATTTCTGGTTACCCTAGTCTCCCAAAAAATTAAAAATCTATATATGCCCACTAATAACTACTGTCTACTAACACAAAGTCACCTACATGTCAGAATGACAGTTATTAAAATACAGTCATTAAAATTCAAGGGAAATTCCCATCTATTTTAGATGCATTGAAAGACCTTATTATTATCAAGGTGCATGATTCATTCACCATTACAATAATTATTACAGGGAGTGTGCAATTTGTGATTAAAAATGACAGACAGGGCAGCATATATCATTGAATATTGACTTATTGTGATGCCAAGATAGATGTGCAGAAAAATTCAAAATAGTCTATTAATAATAAAGGGTTTCTTTCTCCCATGGTAGAGACATACGAAAGTAGAAGACAAGGGAAGGTCAGCATGACATTGACAATCATTATACATGGAAGTCAGCTGAAATAAAATAAATCATGATGCTGGGATTAAATGGAAGCTCTTGATTTAGAAACCTTCTACAAGGGATGAGGGGAGTGATGATTACAGACTATTTTTTTCTGAGGAAATCTCTGTATGACATGCTTGCTTTTCATGACAGAAATCCAGTTAAAACAAGATGTAGAATTTCAACATTAATAGAAAGTTTAAAAAGAAGAAACAATAAAGGAAATCTGAAATGCACCCTGTGACTCATAACTAGGAAATAAAACTGTTTGCAAGCATCTTTATAACTTTTCAAACTTCTGGAATAATTCACTTTCTATTAGGAAGGGGAAAAAATGTCTCCTACTCTTAGCTGAAGTATTGCAAGAAGCTCCAACATATACCATGATTCTACCAACTAGAATGAAAATGTGTTGCTATCTCTTAGGAAGAAGGGTTATATATGTCAAAAGAATGCTATTTTTTCAGATTCTACTGGTATCAGCAGTGCTGTGCTTACTTTCTGATTGGTAGGTATTTGATCAAGTGTTTGTACTATTGATCCACTTAGAATATTTATGTGAAAGTTTTAGCAAAACTGTTTCCTTTGTCAATAGTGTTTTGAGGGTTTTTTTCAAGTCACTATAAAAAACAAATAGATGTGCTGGGGCTAGTGGTTTTAGAACAAAATTGCTCACAGGTGGTTTGTGACTTCTGACATCAGAATACCAATAACTGTTCAGGATGAAAGTCCTGCTGAATGGCTGCTCAAGCTATAGAACAGGGAACAATTGGAAAATAAAAGCTCAGCCTGTTATGAGTTATATTGGTTGGGTGTTGCCTACAGAGCACAAACTGCAACATACTTCAAATGACAGATGTAGAACTATTGTCTTTAAAAAGTACTACTAATATACCCAAGTGTTTAATGGGGTCAATTACTTCAGATATTCATTATTTAAGGGTCTATTTTCTCCTTCACTGCTCTGATAATTTCTTCTTTTTTTCCCTCGTGTGACTATACTCTAACTTGAAGGAAACAAACCAAAAACATCCTACCACTAACCACATTCAGTCAAGACTCAGGCATGCCTTCTGCACCCCCTTATTAACTATTTACATCTTTGATGACGTGTTCTTTTTTCAAGAATAATAGTAGTACCCAAAGGTGGGGTTTTTTTTTCCTTCAGCTGATTATGAAACAATTTATACTTATTGGTTTGCATCCAGATACAGTTAAAATGTGAAATTAATTTCTAATGGGAAAATTTGGTTTTTTTCAGTATAGGTTTGGGGGTTTTAGCTGTGAAAAGCATTTAGCTTGTCCATTTTATATGGAATGAACAGATGGATAGGAATAATATAAATTTCTAAAGACAAAGCCGTTTTTTATGCTAAGCAACTTTGAGTGAGGGAAATGTTAAATGACTCAAAACAATCAGCCATTTGCAGATGCAGCAGGCAGCTTTGCTGGGGCCATGTTTGCGCATCCTGGAGGGGACAAGATGAGTTTCATCCCATCTGATAGGACATAACTCACACAGTTATGCTGACATAAGAGGCAGTTGTCATGTCCCAGAAGGGGTGATAAACCTTCAGAGCCCCCCCAAAGTGCCCCAGGCCCATTTCTGAGGCCTTCCACCAAAGGCTGCCCACGAATCCACAATGTTGCAACAGAATCACAATGCTACAAAGGCAGCATAAAATTCCCTCCTGCCCAGAGACGTGCTTGGGCATTCCACCTACACCTAAACGTGTATTAACCCATTGAACTTTGTTTTTTGCTGGCTTACCCCCACCCTCGATGGACAACAACTGCGACCATCACCTCAATCAATGGATATCAATCAAGTCTCTTTGCTGGATCTACAGGTGTTATCTTTCCACTCTTGTCCATTCTTTCCCTTTCTTTCTTTTCCTTATACATTTTCATGAGTGTTATTTTTATGCTTTTGCATTTCTATATCACTATAGATAATAATAACAACCAAAATGGTTACATAGCTGTTTTCCATCACAACCACATTGTTCTATAAATATATTTAGAAACACCAATCATTCATTCTAATCTGCCCTAAGGGATCTATTAACATGTACTTAAGTTCAGGGGAAGGTCATAACAGCTGCTATATCTACTTATTTAAAGATTTCTACTAGCCTATTATTTTATCATCCACTGAAAGCTTAAAGCATTTTTTGTAACAGATTAAGTAATTATATTAAAGACAAACTGTATCTGTCAATTAATCCAGTCTTTTTTGTCTCTAGAAGAACATATATTCAGAATCTGTTAGTGACATTTTCCTTTATTCGTCTGAGATTGTGTGTTAAATGAAAATAAATTTGCAAATCTTCAATTTTGATTGCTAGTTGATTGAAGAAAAGAAGAATTAATTCTCAACATTTTAAAAATTATAAATCATAACATTTCTCCTCATCTGCTAATACTAGTAATGAAACAGTTAAGTCAAAAACTGGGGTCTATCTCAGTCAAATAGAACAAATTTTACATACTTAACATTTCCTTCCTCTTTAGTTGAGAATTTTGATTTGTAGTATGAAATTTGCATTGAGTCTCATGTCTTGTCTTGCAGAAATACGTAGGATATCAGGTGATGAATTTTCTCCTCATTGTTAATGGGACAGACAACTCTTGATATTACACAATGGCTCAGTCAACTCTCAGGCACAAGCAGGGCAAACATTGTGTAAATAATGCAGTTTACTTGTCTAGAACCAAATGATGGTAATTGCTTGAAATTTTATTTATTTTCTCTCTCTTGTAAACTCTGTGATATATTAATGGAAATAATACAGATATTATTATGCATATACACCATCATATAATTGTTTTGTAAAGCCTATATTGTAGATTTTTTTTTTTTGTCTTACCAAGAATTTATCTTGTTTTTCAAGATCTAGAATTATGACAAGAAGAGAGATGGTCCACAGATAACTTCTGTGCTTTAACTTTAATTGCTAAGGACTTTTAGTTGTCTATGTGGCAGAAACTGACATGTGTTAAAATTACAACTTGGTTGCTAAAAAAATAAAGATGTTGAGTTTGGGCTCCTACTGTGGCTATTAAGTATAATAGAATCTAAAATATGATACTACTTTCTGAAATTAGACTATAAACATCATGGAGCATCACTAAATCAAAACCACCAGTTAACTTGAACTTCTAGAGTAATACATTTTATAGTGTCTTTAAGTATAAAATTACTTAATGATTTTGCTCTTCCACAGGAGTTCTTATGAAAGTGTCTGCAAAACTTTTAGGACATTACTTACCTAGTCTTTTTTATTTAAAATCACCTACAATTTAATAGTTGTCATGCCTGTATGGCACAGCTGAAAATGACAACTTTCTCTAAGGACAAAGTTAATTTAATATGATAGCTCTATCCAAAAGCAAACTAAGCTGACATAGTGATTATCAGCTGAAAGATCAGAGGGTCAGTTTCTTGACAGTCTTGTTCCAGCAAACAAAGCAAGGAATAAGTATGAAAATGCTCCAAATCTACTATAATCATCAGTTTGAGGTGCCAAAAGGAATAAGAAGTGGCTGGACATAGAGGCATCAGTAATTTGCATTGTCAGTGTGGAGCAGAGTTGTCAGCACAAACTTGGCACTAACCACATCTAGAATTAGCCTGGGCCATTGCCTCCACAAAGCTGGCAGCAGCATAACCCCAGGCAAGTCTGCCTCCTCTGCTCCTGGGAGGAAATTTGTGATCAGAGCCAGCCAGGGCTGAGTCATCCAGAGAATTTCAATCTATTGCAAGACATCAGTATGTAGCTTGGGCTGGTAGTTCTGGATCCCAACAAAACCGTTTGCAGAAATGTTAAGGTTTACCAAGAATGTTAAGAATATTGTTGGGACTGGCCAGAAAAAATAATCCCAGAAAATAAATACATAATAGGTATTCAGCAGAAAACCGTTGTTTAACTTTGATTCATTGATTAATTGCATTATTATTAGCTAAATGATATTTCATGTCATTTAATGGCTTAAGTAAAAATGCTGCTGTATTCAATGTAATTATGTTATTCCATAGTTACAAATCAAAGTTAAGTTTATTGAGAAAAAAATATGGGACTCCATTATCTTTTCAGCATATTTGTTTGCAATATTTTCTCCTAGGTAGATAGGAGCAAAGACAAAGCAAATGTTCCTATCAGGAAAGCAAAAAGAAAGCACTATACAGCTTTTTATCAAGATGTCATCAGCGTCTTGACATTTTCCAATTATTATCAATGATTCTTGTGATCACAGCTCCTTATAACACACTGAGCAATAGCCAGTAGTAAGCAGTTTGGGAAGACTTGGATGATTTTGTCAATATGCACATTTATACTATGTGGTAGGCTATATCTGAGATTTCTAACTTATCATTAGTTGTGTTGAATACACCCATATTGTACAGAGAAGCCTTGATGCAATCTTAAAATTAATAGATTAAAAGATTAATAAATATCCCTGGAAGTCTAAAATTTGAATACTCCTTGAAAAAACAGCTAAAAATAT